TGTGACGAGCAGACGCTGCACGCAAAACCGATGCATGACGAACGGAGTCATCAGTCCTAAGTGCTGGGCCTACAAGGAGAGAGTTATTAATGGGGTGGGGAGAGGGGGAAGAAAAAGTATGTGAAGGAGAAAGAAGGGAGGCGTCGGCAGTAGCCTGTTTTCGCTTACCCGCCCTGCTGTATGCATCAAGTAAGGCGACCCGGCTGATGGCACCACGCGACGGCCGATGTGGCATGAGTTTATTTGTGTGTGTGATATTCATGGTTGTACGTGGGCTGGGATACTGCCAGGGAGCCCACACCTAGACAGGAGGACGATTAGGGTCCTCAACCAAAGCATTTGGCTCAAAAGCCTAACCGCAAGGCAGCGGTGTTTGGCGAGAAATGCAAATGCATTACCATTTCTACGGAACAAGTCGCCACATGTTCCAACCCCCAACCTGGAGGGCCAGGAGACTGTGTTCGTCAGACCTCTAACCATTGACCAGCCTGGTATGAAAGACTCTGTGAGTGTCGCGAGACACTCCCCAGTATAGCTCAATGGATCGCTGAGGTGCGCAAACCGTCACACCACGGTAAGGTCCAGTCTCTTCGTGACGGGAAGTTTTGACGAAGAAACTAATATCCAAAAAACAAAGAAATTAGCCAACTCAGCTCCGGAAGCACCCTTACCCTTCAATGATAAAAATCACACCAAACGATTTCATGCCAGGACTGAAAATTCAGAGAAAAATGGACTGATTCAACTTGATGTTATTGTCGCCAGTCCAAACAACCGACCTACGAGTAAGATGACTAGAGCAAAGCTGTGCTTCAGCAGCTTAGTGCGTGGACCAAAATAAGTAAAAATGCCGAACAGTTGAAGTCGTATGCAGGTCAACTTCACCCGCATTCTTATGCATATTTGGTAAGGGGAATCACATACGCAGGTGCTCCTAACACATATTTTGACCAGATTGTATAGGGAGTATGGTTCTTCGACAATACCTGAGTCCCAAAGTGGAATTCCAGTGTACCTGAGTTATGTCTGTTAATACTCTTACCAACGGGAGGATCACGTTCACAGGGTCGGCGGAAATGACACAAAGAGAGAAATAACAACCCTACATTAGGCCTACAAGATGCCGGATGCAAGATGACGAAAGAAGCTACATTAGCAATTCAAGGCACTTAAATTATCGCTCCTCATTCCTACGCCCTTTCGACAGAGTTAAAACGTAACACTCAGTATTCTGGCAGACGGCAGGTTAGTTTAAGAAAGGAACTCACTTTTTTGAACGGCATAATACAGTACAGACTAGAGAGGTTGTTACACTCCTCAATTTCATTAGCAACGAAAGTTCGACCAGAAAGTGTTTTTGATTTGAAGATACAGTTGTCAATAATCCTAACCATGGGGAACCAAAATAAAAAGGACAATGTGTGGTACCTTGGTTTCCTGTCTGTTGAAAAACCTATTTTCAAACATCCACCTCCCAAATCGAGGACGAGTGTCGGGTTCATTTGGATTCAGTTTCCTCTGGGCTGAAATAAGGGAAAGGCGAGTGTAGAGACTATTCAGAGATCACGCTGACCAAGCAATTGCACACCAGTTCCAGTGAGGTCTTCAAATGCATTTAAACACTACCTACATACTCCAGAATCCAAAAAGACTTCCGAGTTTCAAGCCTGCTGTAAAAAGCCACCGAAAGCACCCTTCATACATTCAGAGTCACAGACCCTTAGGGCATAGAGGGATGCAATGGACAGGGAGTGATGGATTCCTTCACAGACGTTGCCAAAATAGCTCGACAGCGGCGGCTACAGTCATCCATCCAGGCAGACACGCTCCCATTCGATGGCTCAAAACAACGTAGAAGAAATGACCCAGTCTGCTGACAGAGAATCAAGGTAATTCCTCTATAATTGCCACATTCACGGCGAGCACCCTTTTGAAAGTTTCCACCGTTATGCATCCTGTCCACTTGTTTGGGACGATTCTTTCCGCTCATTCTGAAGCAAATAAGCAGATAAAAGCCTACTGAGGGTCCCACATCCATCATTGAAAAGACAGAATGAGATTTTGTCTGGACTCGGTACTCAGTGATGCTTGAGAGACAGAAGGCATTCTCTTAATTCCGAAGCAACCGGAGGTTCCGAATTCACTGTCTACGGCTACGTTTCGGGTTAAATATCTGACTGAGTAACTTCAGGTGTCCAACGTTCAACCCAACAGTTAAGGCGCTCTTCATTTTGGAGATAAACGACACTGTCATCAGTAATCGCTTCGCTCACCGGAAATGACTCAGTGGTTAGAGCGCGAATTTACTGACCGGAAGGTCCGTGGATCGAACCCGACCTCTGCCTCTCGATTTCCCCTGTCTATGTTTGGGCGGTATCCAAGCCCTCGTGCTTCCTTTGGGTGGCAAGGCAGCTTGGCATCGAAAGTGTTACAGCTGAACGGTTTTTTTGCTCTCCGAAGGGCTCTTTCACCCTATTGCGCTACTAAGCTGGAATAGTTTCTCGCCTACTCCATCACCTCCACTTTCTGGACCCACCGTCATTCATAATCCGTGCAGATACTCCTGAAGTCTGACGGTTGGACGATCGGAAGGGATACGTGCCGAGCTTTGAGCAACCTTAGTATTGCTCAAGATCCAGTGCTTATATCTAGCTGGTTGTGCCCTTCCACAAATGCAGCGTTAGATAGATTGTTTTGGAAACTGCACTTCAGTAAAAGTCAACGCCAAAAGATGTAGCATCCGAAAGGGACTGTAGTAGGTGGTTCTGGAAGGCCTGCTTCAAATCAGGATTGGAGGTCCTCAATGGCCAGATGAGGTATGCATATCTTGCGCGCCCCTGAGAAGCACAACGAGGGGCAACGACGAGTGAACGTGTGGCCCGGATCCGCAGGTATTCCAGAACTAACGACAATTAGCAGGTAGCCCAGGACACCAACCCCAACCTAATGCTGTCACCTTATTGTGGTGGTCGGGCTTCGGTGATCCAAAGATCCAGCGGGCTACACACGAATTGGCTAGTTCATTAGAATCGGCCCACAAACGGGCTCAGTCATACTCGCATAACCAACCGATAATATTTTCTGCGGCTCCAGCACCTTTACAGACATTTAGGGTTACCCCTTCGCACTCAGTCTCCCTTGACTCCACACTTTACCTCCCGCCAATCAGTTCTCAGATATGCTGTTTCTGCAGTCGTTCCAGGCATCCACGATCCAAACGCCCCGCAAGAGGGACAATTGTAAATCGTGTGGCAAAACAGATCATTTTTAGCGTGCTTTCTATCCATATCTGTCAAAAATCACTCAGGTTGCACGAGAGATTCTGTCTTATATTCCGTGTTGACCATTGCAGCCCGGAACTGCTTGTCCCGAACGGTGGCTAGCATAAAGGTAAACGGAATATCGCTTCAAGTCCTCACAGATACAGGAAGTTCGGTCAGTTATGTATCTCCTTTGTTAGTTCGTACACATGGCCGGAAGATATATGCTAACGATTCTGTGATCACCATGGTATCTACCTCTAGGATGTGTTCAACTAGCGGCTACTGCTACGCATCCATCGAGTACAGGGGTACTCTTAACAAAAAACCAAACTATTGGTATTACTTAATCCACGTACTGACGTGCTGCTAGGCCACGACTTCCTTGGTCTACATAACAAGGTTGAAATCACATTCGGTGGGAACCGAGGTCCACTCGCCCTCTGCGATCTAACTGCTGCTACGGTTGAATTGCCTATCATTTTTGCTAACCTTTCACCTGGTTGCAAACTTATCACCAGGAAACTACGGTGTGGTAACCCTGAAGATGAACAGTTCATCCGCTCTGGATGAACGTACAATTGAAACTCCGCATTCTCCCTGGAGGGCTCAAGTTCTGATCACGAAAAATTCAACCACAAAAGACGCATATTAGTGGACTACAATCAAACCATCAATCAGTTCATATACCTAGACGCTTATCCGTTAGCGAGACTGGATGAAATGATTGAAGAAATTTCCCGCCATGCTGTCTTTAGCACATTAGACCTACTGAGTGCCTATCATCAATTTCCACTGAGAAAAACAAACCGTATACGGCTTTTAAAGCATGCGGAGAACTGTTTCAGTTTCTCCGTATTCAGTCCGGTGCTACCAACGGAGTAGAATTCTTCCAGCATACTATTAACTATAGAATCAGGTATGAGAACTTAAGTGGCATCTACGCTTACATCGACGACGTTACCGTTTGTGAGACTACCCAAAGTGAACAAGGCCGGAATCTCAGGCCTTTCTATAAAGTAATAAAGAAATAAGGAATTACCCGTAACTGCAAAAAACATAGCGGCCAAACAAATATGGCTTCTCTGTCTCTGAAGCCTCTGAAGGAATTATCACACCAGATCCTGAACGAAGGAGCCCCATTCATCAACCCCCTCATCCACATGACACTAAATCCCACCAACGAGTTGTCCGGATGTTTGTTTACTATTCGCAATGGATACCGTACTTCTCTGACAAAACCAGTATGCTTGTCAGAAACAAGACTTCCCCCTTACCGGAGTGTACAACAGTCCGTTGACAATTTAAAGGAGTTACAGAACACTATGCATATGACACTCGACTACAACACACCCTTGGTTGTCGAGAAGGACGCCTCAGACATATCCATTGATGCATCTCTGATTGAGAACGGCCGACCGGTGGTCTTCTTTTCTAGAACACCGGCACCGAGCGAGAAGAATCACTGCTAGTGGGAAAAAGGCATACGCCATCGTTGGATCTATCCGTAAATGGAAGCATTAGCTCCTCGGGGGGCGTCTTGAGCTTATCACTGGCCAGCGGTCGGTATCCTTTATGTACGATCATCAGGAAGGTCAGATTCCTGAAAGCAACCACTGATTGACCCTCAGCTCCGCTAGATCCTGACCAGACAGACAACGCACCCTTAGTATGTAGCGCGTCAAAGCCTCGTAGCAGAACCCAGACAGCGCGGGTTGGCATTGATCAAGGTTAGACAACGTCCCCGCAATACGCAGCACGTCACAGCCTTGTGTCAAAGCCAGATAGTGCGCTTCAGCGTTGGACCAAGTTCAGGCAGTGTCCCTCCAATAAATAGCTTAAGGCCGTTGTATTTTCGCACTCAAGCTCTCCCACTCACTTGTTCGGAATATAGCTGTTGTGTTCCCTTCTGTGAGTCTTTTCTCCGGCACTAGGGACTGGAGCGGGGTCAGCAGTCATATGCAACTGATCGGCGAATCAGCAGAAAAGTAAGATAAAGACGATGAAATCCGGTCATGGAAAATGGAATTCTCCGCTTTTAGCTAGGATGTCATTTACAGACCTAAAAAAGACAATCTGGTGGTTGACACCTTATCGCGTAATCAATGCGCCAATGTGATCAACAATGGTAAATTAAAAGAAACCCACGATTTCAAGTACCATCCCGGAATTACTCGCATGTATTCAAAAACTTGCAGTTTTTCCTCCAAGATGTCAAGGACATCACGAAATGCACGGTTTAGGCCGCCATCAAACCGCAATTTCGCAAACAACCCCTGCTACGCTCAGCAAAGCGACTCAACCATTCGAACGAATCAGCGTCACTCAAAACTCATATCTTCTTACTATCATTGACGGGTCTCCCCCTTTTCCATTTGCCTTTACCTGCGCATATACATGTGCATCTAATGCTATTGAATGCCCGTGTTAAATATTCTCTTCGTTTGGTATGTTTGTACACGTATATTAGGATAGTGGCTTCTCATTCATATCTGACGAACTATCCACGTCGCTACATGCAGGAGTTTGCACCAGCCGAACAACCCCTTATAATACCCAGGGGAACGGGCAAGTCGAACACCTTAACGGGACACTCTGGAACTTCATACAACTCAGACTCAAGACGACAGGCCTTCAAATCTGTCACTGAGAATCGGCTATCAGATGCGCTCCACTCTATACGATCCCCTCTCTGCGTCTCCACGAACGCCACTCCACTTGAACGAATATTACGGTGTGAACGTCGGTCATCCTGTTGCCCAAGGGGAAAAAAACTCCGTCCCCCAGAGCCAAAAAGCCCGAGCAACCCGAGCTCTCACGGAACGAAAAAGACCCCGCAGGCGAAAAGCACCCCCAGAAACCACAATGGCCGGAAGCAGCCATCGCCGCAGAGG